TGCCTGATCTTAGCAGGGACCTCTTCTCCATCGTCTAAGCTATCTGGCAGGGCCGCTGCTGTCTACAGGTTCATATTCTGAGCCTGATTCTGTCAGTGAGGCTTCCCCTTTGCTCTCATCTGACCTTGTCAGAATCCTGTAGGCCTCTTCACTAGAGTACCTTTCGTTGGACATTTTGACCACTAAATTTAGAGGTTCCTAGTGCAACTCACAGGAAAACTCAGGGAATGCTTGAACCACTACCATGACAGATCATGCAGTGGGGAACGATCAAGGGGTTAAATGTGTCTTAGAGCATTCTAACTAAATTTGTGTAGTGCTCACAGTTTATGTTGATTCTTCTCTCTCTGGGACGTAATGTGCCCAGAGAGAGATTTCATCACTTCCTGATGAAATTCCAGGGATCGATCATCCGACTTGGGCCGGACATCACTGGCCTAAATTGGATGATTGAACTTGGGGCACCCTCGGGTCAGCGGGGGTGTGCCCACGCCCCTCCCCCCAGCACGCGAAGTCCACGGGAGCACAAATCATGTATATATGCGTGATCCTGCACACTGGGGCCGCCCTGCAGCAGTAAATGTACTGTGACCGGTCCCTAAGCAGTTAAAAACACTTTTTTCCCTAGAGCAAATGAAAAGCTAATCCTTGCAGTACAGGGGAGCCCCACTGCAAGTGAGGACTTTTAGTTTTCCTAGATTTCAGTTTTAAAACACCTCTTCTTGCTAGAAATTTCAAGATGAGGTTTCAAATACTTAACATTTTGGATTGGTTCCCTGTTAGTTGCAGGGTGCTATAGATGTCCAGGGCTGTGGTCCATTGCTATGGAACCCAGTCCCTGAAGAGCTCTTCAGGGGTATGCCCACCATACATACAGTATGTATTTGCAAATGTGTTAACTAAACCCCTGTTTTTAACGCATACTCTTAGACTGGTTAATTTGGTGTGTCAGCAAGCTGGCTGGCAAGCAGAGCTGGAAATTTTTATCTTTTGTTGTTTTGACATGTCGCCCTTCCATGTGCTCTTTGCTGCGAAGGCCAGTTATAGACTGGGGCAATGGACATTTTTTGTACTGCGATACACCACTACCTCTTCTACATTAGATTCTGAACTGGAGTCAGACCCTGATATGCCAGTCTTGGAGGATGCTGAATTAGAAGGGATTGAAGAGGATGTTGAGGCAGTGTTGGAAGAAACTGCAGAAAATTTATTTCCCCAAAACTGCCACTACATTGGAGAGAGAGCAACACACAACATGCTTGCTAACGTGAAAAGCATATTGCTTCTGTCCACAAAGGCCTTGGCAAGTTTCACCCTTCTCCATTTTGCCACACCCCTTTGGTCACAAAGATACCTACAAAAACTTGCAAAACATTTCCTGTTCATGAGCAGATAAAATGTGCAGTCTATAATGACTGTGTCACTCTTGAGAGAATTTATAAGCCCCCAAAAAACATTTGTGATCTTTACAAAGTGGAAAAAGAGCTTACACAAAAATGGGCTAGTTCCTGTGGTTTACCATGCCACCTTTGTTGTAAACAAACATCTCACTGTAGCTATTGAAGATATTTCTTTTATAAATTCTGCTGACAAAATATTTTAGACACTCTTAAAAGCTTTTTTAACCTGGCAGGCCTGCAACCAGCTCGTGCTGCTCTGTCTGTATGACAAACTGGAGCTAACTTGGCTAGGGCAATGAACATTGACTATGTCTTTCAGGATCGTGGTGTTGCAGAGCAATTACAATAACTGCTTTTTGCTGCTCTCTTCTGTGTAGATGCCCTGGAAATACTGCATTAGACAAATATTCAGAATGGCTCTCATCTCCATTCCTATGTACAGAATCCTATAGCTAAAGGCTTGAACTGCAGAAGCTTCCTGTAAAAAGAGCCTCACGCTTACGCCTTTTCAAGGAACAAGTCTGTTTGGTGAGACACTTGACCGTTAGACCTTGACATCTAGAGGTTACATCGGAGATTAATGGCAAACCCCTCCCTACTCAAAGGCTCCTAACTCCTCTAACTGAAGACTGTTTTTTTTGCTCTGTTGATTGGACTAGATGGACTTGTGCTTTTTTTTTAAGCATATTAACTATGAATTTATGAAACAATAAGAGCACCTCCACGCTTTAAAAAGGCTACAACGTCAAAATCAGTTCTGTCCTCCCTTTTCGGCCAAGGCTTTGCCCAAAAAGGCCACCAAGCTCTCTTCACAATGAAGGGGCGCCCTCACACCTAAGAGTGGTGGAACATCTGTTACAGTGTGCATCTCTCCGGGTCACCGGCATCCCATACCTGGGGGTTTCATTGGTGGTTTTAAACGGGTACATGATAGAGTTGAACTACCTCAACCACTTTTTTTCTTTCAAGATAACCAAAAGCTTCAGCAAAAAGCCCTGAAACATCTCCTGTCCTAATGAGTTGTTATATCAGTACCGCCTCAGGACAGGTTCAAGGGATTCTACTCAAACCTGTTCATGGTACCAAAGCCCAACAGAGGAATCCATCCGATCCTGAACTTTAAAATCCCTCAACAAATTCCTTTTGGATTCTAGAATTTTATATGGAATCTGTAAGGTCTGTAATTCTCTGAGACAAGGGGAGCTCATGGCATCTGTGAACATCCAAGATGCCTATCTGCATATTGCCATTTACCCACCTCATCCGCAATCTCTGCACATTGTAGCGGCAGATGACCACTTCTAGTTTGTCACATTGGGGTTGATTTACTAAAACTGGAGAGTGCGAAATCTGGTTCAGCTTTGCCAATCAGCTTACAAATTTGTTAGGGTTTTTTTGTCAAAGCTTAATTGAACAAGCTGAAGGTAGAAGCTAATTGGCTACCATGGACAGCTGCACCAGATTTTGCACAATCCAGTTTTAGTAAATCCACTCCTTTGCCTTTCAGCCTAACTTCTGCTGTCAGGGTGTTCACAAATGTCTTAGAAGCTGTAGGATTGCTTTCACAAAGGTCTTAGCAACCTTGCTTGCCCTACTCAGACCTCAGAGCACCCAGATGACTGGCTATCTAGACAACTTTCTTATGAAAGATTCATCTCCCTTGCAACACTCGGCAAATGTACAAAAGACAATTCAGGTACATCAGGCCTTTGGCTAGGTGTTCAACTTCAGAAAATCTATAGTACAGCCTAATCCAGGATACATTTCAGGCAAAGTTAGTTTTTTCTCTAAGAGCTCATGCTCAACCATTGAGATCCAAAAGAGAGTCCACAATGAGATTTGCAATGAGAGTTCTGGGTCTAATGTTGGCCTCCTTTCGAGTTAGTAACTTTTTGCTCAGTTACATTCAAGAATTCTCTAACTAAAAAATCTGTTAGCATGGAAAAAGCAGGCTCTTTCCCTGAATCTACTCATGCGCCAATGCACCCAAATAAGAATGTCCTTGTCCTGGTGGATCTCACTACTCTGATGTTGGGAAAAACTTTCCTTCTACAATTGGAAGTTCTTACAATAGACACACCTGGGGAGGAGTCTTCCCATCCTTAACAGTTCAGGGAACATGGTTAGGAGAAGAGACAGGATCCAGATCAGGATCTTGTAGCTCAGAGCGGTCAGGTTGTGCCTCCGCACTGCACCCCACTTTTAAACATAAACCCAATTTGGGTGCCATCAGAGAATGCCACCACTGTGGCAAATATCAATAGTCAAGCAAACACAAGTAGCCTGCCTGCATTGTGGGAACAATCTTCTATCATAAATAATTTGCTTCCTAACAATTTTTTCAGTCCACATGTCTAGGTAGGATCTGCTCTGTATGCTATAGTTATCCTCTGGTCTCAGTTTAGGTAAATCTAGACCTTCCCCCCACTAAGAATTCTGCCTCACCTTCTCCACAAAGCAGATTGAGAGAAAAATGCGAACTCTACTGGCACAGAGCTGGCCTAGAAGAACCTGGTACACAAACATACACATTTCAAAACCAACCCCTGGTCTCTTCCCAACAGGCCAGATCGTTAGGGATATTGGTATACAGTGGTATAATATCCGTACTCACAAGCAGCAGTCTTCCGTTTAAATAAAACATCTTCTTTTGTAGCAAATGTCCCATGTCCCTTAGTTAGGGTGGTGTGAAAGTATTTAGATGAAGGTCTGAAGATCAATATATTTTGCTTTCTTAACTTGAGACAATATGGCAGGTACTTTAAATGCTGCAGAATGTTGTGGTTTTTAGGTAATTCTTAGATTACTGGAAAAATAGGAAAATCAATATGTAGAACATATGAAACTCAGAAATACACCCATTCAAAATCTCAATGCTGATCATCTGTTGCAGTTATCCTTTAATCCAACTAGTTTGATCAACCAATGTTTTACAGTAGGTATTTACTTTCTTTCATCAGATCCAGAATGCCTCATCTATAGTCAGGGTGGTTAAAAATCTCTGCGGCTCCTTATTTTTTCCGCAGTCTTTAAATCATAGATGTCCAACCTTTTGACTTTCCTGGGCTACACATAAAATACATGAACAATAAGGATAGCTGCTGAGCAGCAAAAAAAGTCAGGCAGATCACAAGTTAGTGATCACTGTACCTATTATTGTACCTATTTGAGTAATAAAACTTCATTTTTTTTTTGTACTATTTTTATTGTAAAAGCAAAAGAGGGCAGCATAAAACTAATGCAATATTTAACATGTTTTTTGATAAACTGACACATAAATATCTAATTTGATGTATGCAATAGCAATCCTCAATGAATTCTCAAAGTGCTCAGATATTTTGCTTCTAATTTTGCCCTTCGTCTGCATCATCTTTGAAAATAGTTGCTCACAAATATACCGTATTTTTCGCTCCATAAGACGCACCTAGGTTTTAGAGGCGGAAAACAAGAAAAAAAATATTCTGAACCAGTAGACTGCAGATATAGTACAGGAGATAACCAGAGACTGCGGACATTAGTACAGGGGATGACCAGAGACTGTGGACATAGTACAGGGGATGACCAGAGACTGTGGACATTGTACAGGAGATGATCAGAAACTGCAGACATACTACAGGAAATGATCAGAGACTGCAGACATACTACAGGGATGACCAGAGACTGCGGACATAGTACAGGGATGCCCAGAGACTGCGGACATAGTACAGTGGATGCCCAGAGACTGCGGACATAGTACAGTGGATGACCAGAGACTGCGGACATAGTACAGGGGAAGACCAGAGTCTGTGGACATAGTACAGGGGATGACCAGGGACTGCGGACATTGTACAGGAGATGATTAGAGACTGCGGACATACTACAGGGATGACCAGAGACTGCGGACATAGCACAGGGGATGACCAGAGACTGTGAACATAGTACAGGAGATGACCAAACACTGTGAACCTTTAGGGAGCAAAGGGGGGGAGCAGGTACGCACTCCCACTTCTGTAGAGCTGTCCTCCCTCCCTGTCTTCTGGGACAAGTGACAGGTCCCAGAAGACTACCGGACCATTCACAAAGTGCAGAGCTTCTCTCGCATGCGCAGTGGGCATTTGGCTGTGAAGCCGCAAGCTGTCACAGCTGGGTGCCCACACTAAAGATGCCAGCCCCGGGAGAGAATACGGTGAGGACAGTGCTGGACCGAGGAACAGGTAGGACCGAGGAGCACACAAGCGCCGAGTGGCCGACCCGGTATTCTAACACTGCGGCGGTGGGAATTCTGGGCAGGCCACTCCATATTCGCTACATTAGATGCACAGACCTTTTCCCCCATTTTTTTTGGGGGGGAGTGCGTCTTATGGAGCGAAAAAAAATATGGTAGGTGCTGCCGAAAACTGATGACTTGAATAAGGTAAGATTGTGAAGAGTGGGATATTTTTCTCTGGTAAGATACAACTTACAGTAAAGAGACACTGTAAAATTTTTGCTCGGCCGCATGTGTTTGCTAAGTGTAAACACATTTTTTATTAAAAAATCCCCCCCCCAAAAAAATAAATTTTAAGTACATTTTCGATTTTGTGTTGGACCGCATTTATAACTAATGTGGGCCACAGGTTGAACACCCCGGCTTTAAATATTTACAATATGTCATGCTTGAGAGAGGTAATTGCTTCTCTTTCTTTCTAACTTGGACTTGAATGAGCTGGTCTGTTGTCTAAAACAAGTGCAGAATCATTTCAGATGGTTTTGTTGTACATTTCAATAGTGCCACAGTTGCCAGGTGAAATAAATTTATTTCGCCTGGCAACTGTGGCACTATTGAAATGTACAACAAAACCATCTGACATAAACTGAGAAGTGATATCACTATCTGCCTCACAGTGTGCCGAGTACTGCTCTCACAGATTCAACTGTCACTTTTATTGAAAAGATTAATTGTCTCACAGATACATTCTAGAGTGGAAAAATTTGGTAGGTCCTTGGAAGATCTCAGGTGACCACCCCCTAAATTAGTGTTTCCAGGTGCACCCTACAAAAGGAGGACCAGAAGAGGTAGCAAGTAATGCAGACACATGGTGTTTCACTCTCAGATTAGTCTCATCGTCCTATCCCTTGTAGCAAGGAAAACAATTTTACACAAGTGGATCTGTCTGGCGCCCCCACCATTTCTTTGTTTATAGACAAACTGACCTGTTTTCCGCATGGAATAGGTGGAGGCTTCCCTGCATAAGGAATCACAAGTCTAAAAACTCTTTGATGTGTATTTTATTATTTATTTAACCACACAGTTGTGTTAACACCTGGGCAATAACAAGTGCAATAGATGTGGGTAAATCATAATGCAAATCTGGTTCAAAGCGGGTAGGGAGGTTACTATGGGTTTTGCGGAGATATATTTAATCATTTGGTATCTCTGCCGAATAGTACAGCCAACCCATCCATACATCTTTAAATTTCTTTTGCTGATTCTTAACCATGTGCATCCGGTTGTGTGGGGGGAGGGGCATGAACGTGGCACCGTTAGTGTGAGCTCCAGGTGCCCACCAGCCATGAGAGAAGCCCTGCAGTCCTTCAGCCTATCCTGATCTATCTTGCCGCTCTCCCTAAAGCCCTGTCCTACCTGAAAGCTGGGCGGAAGCGGAGCGGGGGGCCGCGGCGGCATCGGGTCCAGGCATCATGGAGCTGGTCCCGGAGGCAGTTGGTGTTGGTGGGTCCGGTCCTGTGGCCCTGCGCAGGGCGGCGAAGCTCGGCAGCCCCTTGGCAGCAGGAGGCAGCAACAGCGGAGAAGGGGAAGGTGAGAGCGTCCCTGTGACATCCATGTGGCCGCCCATGTGACCCACCAGGTGACAGCCCATGTGACGGAAGCAATTTCAAAAGTCCAGGAAAGTGATGTGGCTTCACAGCTAAAGAAGAGACAGAACTTTAAAAGTGATTTACTATGGACCTGGGTAGCATCCTTGGGAAACCCTGACACCCTAGATGTTCAAGATACAGAGAGCCCTCATTATTATTATTATTATGCAGTATTTATAAAGCGCCGACAGTTCGCTCAGTGCTGTACATTACAATGGGAGACAATACATGAGACAGTACAATAATAATACAATGCGATACTCGAGGGGTTCAAGGGCCCTGCTCCTTAGAGCTTACAATCTAGGAGGGAGGGGATAGTGGTACAGGAGGAAAAGCTGTGGGGGATGGAGTGGTAGGAAGAGTGGAGGAGATCAGCAATTAGCTGGGGGCGGGGTAGGCTTCCCTGAAGAGGTGGCTTTTCAGGGTGCGTAGGTGATAGTCTGATGGATTGGGGTAGGGAGTTCAAGAGGATGGGTGATGCCCTGGAGAAGTTCTGGAGGCGGGCATGGGAGGAGGAGACCAGGGAACTAGAGAGAAGGAAGTCTTGTGAGGAGCGGAGAGTGCGTTTTGGGTGGTATTTGGATATTAGGTCGGTGATGTAGTTTGGGGCAGTTTTATTGACAGCTTTGTACGTCAGTGTTAGCATTTTGAATTTGATCCGTTGGGCAATCGGAAGCCAGTGGAGGGACTGGCAGGGGGGGGTGGCGGAAACGGAGTGGTTGGTAAGGTGGATGAGTCTGGCTGCCGTATTCAGGATCGACTGAAGTGGGGATAGCCTGTGGTGAGCCAGGCCAGTGAGGAGGGAGTTGCAGTAATCGAGTCATGATATGATGAGGGAGTAGATGAGCTGCTTAGTAGTTTCTGGGGTTAGGAATGGGCGTATTTTGGCGATGTTGCGGAGGTGGAGTCTGCATGAGTTTGTTAGCGATTGGACTTGGGGCTGGAAGGATAGATTGGAGTCTAGTATGACACCAAGAACTCTGGCTTGTAGGGTGGGCCTGATGGTGGCATTGTTGGACGTGATGGAGAAGTCAGTAGGGGGGGGTGCGCGGGCTGGGGGGAAAACTAGGAGCTCTGTTTTGGAGAAGTTCAGTTTAAGGAAGTGGAGCGACATCCAGTCTGGTATGTCGTTCAGTAGGCTTGTGATTCGGGCGGAGACTGAGGGGGTGAGGCGAGGGGTCGAGAGATAGATTTGCGTGTTGTCGGCACAGAGGTGGTAGTTGAAGCCGTGAGAGTGTATGAGTTGCCAAGGGGGAGGAGGTGTAGATGGAGACGAGAAGGGGCCCAAGGACAGAGCCTTGAGGGACCCCAACAGAGAGGGGGAGTGAGGGGGAGGTGGTGGCGTTATAATTAATGCTGAAGGAGCGTTGTGATAGGTAGGACGAGAGCCAGGAGAGAGCAGAGTCTCTGAGGCCAAGGGAGTGTAGTTTTTTGAGGAGGAGGGGGAGGTCGAGGAGTAGAAGCACTGAATAGTGGCCATTAGCTTTGGTGGTTAGCAGGTCATTGGAGAGTTTGAGTAAGGCAGTTTTGGTGGAGTGTAGGGGATGGAAGCCGGACTGTAGGGGGTCGAGCAGGTTGTTGTCATTGAGGTGGGAGCTTAGGCGATTGTAGAATGAGTTTGGATGTGAATGGCAGCAGGGAGATGGGTCTAAGGTTGTTCGGGTCAGTAGGGTCCAGGGAGGGCTTTTTAAGTATGGGAGTGATGTGGGTGAGGGAGCGTAGGATGGAGGAGGAGGGAGGTCGTAGGAGTTGTGAGGGTACAGGGTTGAGGGGGCAGGTGGGGAGGCGGGCTTCAGAGAAGACCTTGGTGACCTCAGTGGTAGTAAGGTCGAAGGAGTGGAGTGTTGAGGGGGCTTCAGTGTGAGGGATGTTAGATGGGGTGGAGGTCTGAACAGTGGTGAGGCCGAGGGAGAGGGGTGATGAGAGGGTTGCTGTGTGAGAGGAGATAGGTGGGGAGGAAGTTTGAGCAGCGGCGATGTCCCTGAGAATTGTGTCAATCTTGTTTTTGAAGTGATTGGCAATCTCAAGGGCGGTGAGTGAGGTGCTGGGTGGAGAGTAGAGAGTTGAAGGTAGAGAAGAGCCGGCGAGGATTGGAGGAGAGGGTATTGATGAGGGTCAGGAAGTAGGTTTGTTTGGCAGCGTGGAGGTAGGAGGTGTAGGTGTGGAAGGTAGATTTATAGCGGGTGAATGCTAATTGTTTTTTGCGCCATAGTCGCGCCAGCGCACGACTGCGTCGTTTGAGAGTTTTGGTATGATCAGTCTGCCAGGGCTAGAGCAGTCAGGGGTCTGATGTTTTGTGTGGTTAAAGGCGCTAGCAAGTCAAGAGCGGTTGACAGCGAGTTGTTATAGGCAGTCGGGGCAGGACAGGGGAAGGATGCTGTCGTAAAATTGATCAGCTGTAGAGTGGAGGGGGGCAGGGATCAGGTTGCGGAGGTTTCGGCTGGTAATAGTTTGACATTTGGAGGGATAGGCGTTTGAGGACTAGGAGACAGAGAAGGTAATAAGGTTGTGGTCAGAGAGAGGGAAGGGGGTGTTTGTGAGGTGGTGGGGAGCACAGAGATGGGAGAAGACATCGGGAGTCGGGTGTGGCTGTAATGGCTGAGACTGAGTGCGCCCGGAAAGGTGAGATCAGGATCTACCAGCACGAAAGGTGGTGGTGAGTTGCCATGAGCGACAGCAGGACTTCGATTTGTGATTCATCTGATGTTATTGCTACAGTCTAAATGCATTCCTCAGTACTAGGGGGGCAGAGTACTGTATTTGTGGGGGTTCTCAGTGGCAGTGGAATCTATTATATCACTCCTGCTCCCAAAGTAACAAATAGAAGATATTAAAGTCAGTAGAGGAAAAAGTCTTTCTTGGGGACGGATAATACAGCAGCCATGCATTAATGGCAAACTCAGTGGTAAGGCTCAAAGGGATGAGGAGCAAATCTGCCAAAGGGGATAAAAACCCCCCAAGCAAGTGTGAATACTAGAACAATAAGGAAATATCTACCTCTGCAGGAGAAAAGCCCAGAGAAATTAACCCCTGAGAAACGAGAGAACTAGAAAAGGGGTGGAAGATCACTCAAGAATGTCGCTAGGGACACAAGAAGCGAACCAGTCCTATGACCTGATAAACGCGGAGAGTAGAATAGATCAAAGTGTCTTGGAGCAACATGGAGCTACATTGCAAACACTTACAAAAGCTGATATGGCAGATATGTTTGCAAAACTTGAGTTATCTATGA